AAAAGCAGAGGAATGTGGGTTGGATGGAAAAGCAGTACCATGCTGCTCCACCTGGGTCCGGTGTTTCCGAGAAACTCCAGAAGCAAAACCATGGCATCTGAAGATCTTCTCTGTCTAGAGGTGAAGCTCCTTCAGAGTTTAAGGACCTCCAAGCAGGCAGGTATTCTGAGGTCTGCTATACTGATATGGGGACTGAAATTCCACTTACAGTCTCCTGTAGCTCCCATATCCTGTTGGGGATCTGGATCAAAGTACCCAAGAATGAGATAAGAGAAGGAAAAACATCTATAAAGTCTTCAGATTTTGGGACTGCATATTCCTCTCCCTGTGCAGCTTCTAGCACAATTAATTTAATCATATCTGGAGTTCTGGTAAATATTTGTAATATGGTAAATTATATATGAATGGTAAATATTTGGAATGTTCAGAATATGGTAAATATTCACCAACACAGCTGGTTTTGTGCAGCCTCTAAGAAATATCATCTGATTTATTTTTAATTACATATGTTTTTTTATTTTTAAATATATTGATGGATATGTTGTCCCCTTGCTGTTAATTAAAGGTGGCACAGTTTTAGCCTTCCTTTTCCTGGCACAATTAGCAAGGATTGCCAAATGAATCTTTGTGGATGGCCATGATTTATGAATATTTAATCCACACTGCATTTCCATGCAATCACTTTCTGCTCATTACCGGGGTACATACATACAAAACCAAGAGACTCCAATGATGAAAACCACTATAATCATTGCTTTGTAGTCACTAAATTACTGAGAGGCGCTAAAATAAACTGAGAATAGTATCCATTTCACTGTACTAATGGTTCCATATATTAAGTATCAGCCTTTGGGTAGGTCAATAATACCCCTAAATTGAATCAACGATGCTAAATACTCAAGGCTATTTAACTAACGGTTACTGATACTGGGGTAACATTGTTAACACAGAAGTAACATGAAATTTTTTGAGATAATAAAAGCAGACAAAAAGTAACACAAAACCAGGCTTTTATCAAAACAATACATGGTATAAGGACAGCAATGATGCTTATTTTCCAGACATGTACTTAAAACAATGCAAAACCCAGACACTCATAGTTCTATATTCACAAACATGCTTGCACAAGTAGACCAACTGTGATATGTTTGTAGAGTAAGACCCTGATCTCTGTATGGACTACAAAGCATCGCTTTAAAATATCTTTTGTTGGTGATGAGAGAAGAAAGGCTGTTCTGTAGATAGTGTTACAGTTCCTGAGTCACTGGATTTAACATTGAGAAGCCCTCAAAAAGAACCGTTCAGGAGTTCAAACCAACTACAAACTCAAACCTTTGGCAGATGCCAGTTTTTCCTGTGGGGCATACAGGTAATTTCAGGTTTTCCTTAAACAACTACATAGTAGAACATACATTATAACAGTGACTGTGCCTGTGCAGTGTTAATACAGCCACAAAGTAGAGAAGTACCTAAAAATACTGTTAACAACCTTTCCTTTAAAATACAAATACTGCCATTAAATACAATGTGGCAACACTTGAGATCAGTATAGATCTTAAAATATCACACACAAGCTATTCAGGTTTCTGAAGACAACAAAATTGGCAATAAAATAATGTCAAACCATGTCTTGTTGGTAAAAATAGCTCATTTTCCAAATGCAGTTCTCTGTAAATGTAGAAAAACTGTAACTGTTTTGTATATACCATAAGCTATTTATCTAAAATGGTACTGTCAGTGAAACAGATGTCATTGCACAATATCCCCGTGCCACCCACATTCTGTTCTCCTAGTTGCCAAACAGAACTGTTTCATGTTATTTACTGAGTGATCACATTCAGGTATTTCTGCAATGATACATTAAAGGAAAAAAAGTACTTAAAAACAAAAACATAATTTCACATGATGTTTTACCATGATCTAATATATTCAACATGCCTCCACCAGTACAGACTATGAAGCAAAGACTGAAACCTTAGCAGAAGATCAATACAGTCTTATTTTTAAGAACTTTGTACATCAGCTTTTTCCATTTTCCTCTTCCTGTCCATTAGGCTCAATTTCAAGCTTCTGTTTCTAAACATCTTCACTCAGCTAAGGAAGATGTAGAATTAATATCAAAGTTTCCTACCCTAAAAAAATAATCTGTTCTTTGTAGTAGAACTACACAAAACCTAAAATAATCACACCACAAAGTTAGGCTGGAAGGGTCTTTTGGAGGTATCTGGTGTTAGGATCACACTACCAACTGTGGGCCTCATTCAGGGCAACCCACAGGGCTCAGTGTCACTTGTCAGGGACCTATCTTGGTCTGCATATGCCATATGCCACCTTACATTGTAGAACGTAGCCATCTGGTCTTTGTTCTTTCTTTCCATGCTGTCTTGCTTTTTCAGTTTTCCTCCATTTTTTCACCCTTGTCACAGTGATCTCTGAGGTTCATCAACATTACACTGCCATCAGGCTTCCTTGAGGCTGAGATGGGCACAAGACCATCCACGATTCAAACAGGACCTTGCCAATGTACCCCATGAACTCTAAATGCAAAAGGCTTGTAGTCTGGACTCATCAGTGCCACCAGATTGTTGCCAAAATTCAAATTACCAGATTTTCTCAACCTGTAGCCTTTAAGAACCTAGACTGTATATGTCTGAAAGCTTGTGAGCACAATAAAATTCATATTGAGTACTCTGACTGCATTCACATTTGTACAAGTAACTGACTCACTAAAGAAAATAAGACCAGAAAAAGTAATTCAGTTTGAATATTCACAGCTTTCTAGTACAAATGAGTGCTTTAACTCTTAAAAATGGGGAAGAGAGAAAGGAATCTGAAAGACATCTAGAGACACTAGCAACTCAATAAATACATCTAGAGCAAATGACAGCTAAGCAGAAAAATAATTTCTCATCTAAGACCTTTTTCTCCTGGGAAATACTCTCCTTCTTGAGAATGTAAAACTTTCTTCAACATCTTATAATAAAAATACTGAAATTAACATCAAATACACTTTAGTATCTCAAGACATTTTTCACCTGATCAGATTTTTACTCTTTGATACTTGTTTGCTAATAAGCCACCTAACCCTTCAACTATCCAGCTTTATAATGCCTTATTTAGACCTCTCAACTTTGTTGAGCTGCTTTTAGATTACAACACAAAGTCTTAAAGATAAATACGGCACGCACGTTTTTTTAGCAGAACACTTGCCAGCTTTTCAACAGTAGAATCAACAACAGATAAGCAAAGGGAGTGTTGGTTAGAGAAGAAAGTTTTCTATACACTCCTGAAATACAGTTCTTTTCAGATACCCTAACCCACCAACTCCAGAGAGCTGCCCAGCAATTCTCTGCCCTAATGGGGGAAAAAAAGAGTGAAAAAGTTTCCATTACAACAAACAACTGAGATCACAAATTCTGATTTTTTTATAGTAATTTGATTATATATATAATTTTATTTTGTATTGACATAGCACATTCTTGATGACTGGAAGCAATCTAGGCTAACTGCTAACGCTGTAGAAATGAAGCAACCTTTGCCACCAAAAGCCAAGACTATCACTATCCTTCTATAGACTGCGCAACCCAACCGGGCTTTTCATATTGACTATTGTTTAAGACCAGTTATAGATTCACATCTCCTTCAAACCCAGTTTATGGACAGGTGAAAATGCATTAAATGGTTGCTTCATATACCATAGTCTCTTCCTATCGTTACACACATTTAGCATACTGATTTTGGAAAAGGCATGGAATAAAAAGGAAAATATCAAACTACAAATAAGTATATATGTGTTAAACTTGGTTAGAAAATTTTAAAAATTTAAATTTTGTGGTTTTATTTTTGGTGGACTTCTTTGTGGCTTGTCCTAAAACTGAAAGCACCTCTCCGTACTGTTAAAATACCAATCTCTCTCTTCAAAGTTAGGCATATAGGCAGAATCATCAGTTTTATGTGAGTCACAGGTAGCCCCTCTCTACAGTTTGATGTGCTCCGTCTCTCTATCCTCTTGTTTATATGCCTGTACGCTTTTACCAGTGGATTGTGTCTCTTCCAAAACACTCGTACAGGGCTGTTAAACGAAACAAACAAAACAGAGAAGAGTTCCCTGATACTCTGAATAATTACTGGAAAATAAAACTTTATCTGATGAATAATAACCCTATTGCCCTACAAAACCAGACATTTCAATTTCAGTATTAAACATCCAATTAACATACTGCTACATACATAAATATTTACCGGTTCAGCTTCAGAAGTCTCTTAAATATAGCCTGCTTTAAGAGAGGTGTTTAGAAGGTGAAAATTAATGAAGATCCACAGAGCCCTTTAAGCATAAATTCCTGTCTCTACTTGTGGCCATATTTTCAGGCTGAAAATTAGTTTACTTAATTGAAAATACTGTGAATACTGAAAATGGGAAAACATGCTGCTTAAAGACACAACCTCTGCCTTTTAACACTGTGGTCACTGCTTTTCCCAGAGATTTTTTTCTTGTAATTGCCACTGATTACAACTGGAAGTTAATTATGTATATCAGCATCAGTAGATGTGAAAAACATGTAGAAAAATACCTTTGTATACTGTTCTGAGCTACATGCCTTTTTGAGGAAGAAAGTGCACTAAAAGTCTTTGAAAAGCCAAATTTTGTCACAAGACCCTCCCCAGATGTCATTACTGCTTAATTCAAAATCTTAGGGAAAAAATAGTAGCTATATCTCAGACCTCATCAATACGCAAAAATGCTGAGTAAAGGTTTCTATCTTTTTGCTGGCCTGTTCTTTCTGGATGATTAGGATCTTTCTGGAGTTAAAAGCTATTGATTTACTAGGAGGCTGCCTAAAGTTTTATATTTTCAATTCTATTGGATTGATTAAACAAACATGTTTTAGCAAAACAAGGGACTTTTTTATATTGCTTACTGTACTATATTAGGATCCTTAAGTTATAAGCACTTACAAGGGCATTATTACGTATATGCTAATTAAAAATTGACCAACCTTTCCTTCAGCGTCTGCTGCCGTTACTTTCTCAACCTTGTTTCTGTTTAAAAATTTCTTCACCCATTCTTCTACTTGAACATTGAACTTCATGAAAACCACATAGCAAAAATATGCTGTCAGAAGCGTTAAGCTTTCCCACCACATGATCAAGTTATCCAGAAAAAAGATGATTAGCAAGATCAAGTCAATGATGTAAAAGGACACATCTCGAAAGAGCGGCCACCAAGTAAGGTTCAAGATCTCTCTAGAAAATAAAGCACACATTCCAATAACAAACAAGATATTGAAGACGGCAGATCCCACTATTGTACCAATGCCGACATTGCTGTGGGATATAAACACTCCTATTAAAGAAGTGAAGAGTTCTGGGGCTGACCCACCAGCAGCCATGAAGGTTGCCCCTGCCACATCGTCAGATATGCTCAGTTTTTCAGTGATGACAGTCAAGGAAGGTACAAAGAACTCATCGCAGACTATGGCTAAAGCTATGAACATGTATATCATTCCAATTACATGGAGGATCACTGCTCCCTTTCTTCTCTCCTCAAGAGAGAAAAGGTCCGTGGGGTACTCTCCCTTGGAATGGTCATCTGTTGCATTGTCGTGCTCAGCTTCATGTTTCATAGAAGTGTGTGGGTCTGGAGTGCCATTTTCATTCTGTTCTGCGAAATCCAACAGAGTTCTTTGGTGCCCATGCACCAGCTTTCGGCTATCTAGGCTGCTGGCCAATGCCATGCTATGTGGTTCCATCTTGAAAAAGGCACTAATTGAAAGAGAGAAAGTACTAATGGCCACTACACTGACAAGAAGCCCTATAATTCGTATCAGTCTCAGTTTTTTCCTAACATTCCGGTGCCGTCTGCAACTGAACAGTGGTTCCTCCAAACACCACTCCTCCAAGACACCAGCAACAGTTTTTTTCTGAAGAGCCATTTTGTGTTCTGTGTGAGATGCTGAGGGAGTCAGATGGACTGTTCCTTCATGCTTTTCTACAGCTCTGAAGTTAGAAGTGCTTTAAGAGTTTTCCCAGAATCAGGTACTTGTACTTTTCATAGGAAGTATTTTCTTCATTCGTCCTAAAAGGACAAACAGGCATTATTAATACTAGTGAAACAGCATGAGATTAGAAGCTTCCAAAAAGCATTTTACAGGCTGGGTTAAATTTGGAATTTAAAGCAGAATATTACCAACTGTAACATAAAACTCTGTCACGTCCCATCAGACACAGCAGCGACACGTTTGTTTCAGCAGCAGCCCTGCGGATAACAGTCTATCAATACTCAGACCGTTTTATGCCTCTCAGCCACTGTGCTCCTCAGTTTCTGACACACAAAAACAGTGGAAGGTAAAAAATGTCTCCAAATGTTGCGTAAAAAATGAAGAAACTACTATTTTAATGGACACACCATGGATCGTTACCTTCTGTAATTACTTTTCACCATGATCATATAACGTCCAAATCCCAAACGCAGGGCAATAATGTATGGAAAAGCAATCAAAGTGCTAACAAGCATTTCATCAGAACTTTAGGCAGCTGAGCTGGTATTAATTGAAATGTTATGCATGCATAGAGCAACAATCATTGACACGTATGTAAAACACTACGCCATTGAAACAGGATCGAAATGAAGATCTAAAATACCCACAGTTTCTGTAATTCCCCTGCAAAATCGACTCAAGTTTACACAGAGAACTCAGCTTTCTTCTGATCAGACCTAGGACGTTCGCTGGGACTAGCTAAGACAATTTTTTTTTCAATCTCTGCCTTTGTTGTGGTTTATGTTACACATTCAGCCATACACGTAGGAAGTTACTAAGAATATCTATGTGCTAAGTATCTTTTAAAAGTGCTCCTCTTTCAGATCCTTAAGAAAAAATTTTGAATTTACACAACAGTTGATCCTGAATCAAAGGAAACAGTGACAAATTAAACTATGGGAAAAGGACTACGCATGTTATGCCGGAGCTGAGCATCGTAGACCAACAGCACTTTTAAAACAGAAAAAAACACTGTATAATAACAGGTGCTTTGGTTACTGAATTTGAAGAATATATGTAATGAAGAAATCAGTTAGGTATGCATTATGCATATTAAGTTGCATTATACATCACAGAAAATATACTTTCTAAAAAAATTTGATTATTAGGACTTACTATTCCAGTCAAAACACACTTTGTTAACACCACTTATTCAAGTCATTTGCAGTAACAGTTGAATACTGAATGATCTATTAATCAGCACAATATCGAACGTGCGTTCTCAAATACAGAATTACAACCGCTACACGCCGTTATTTCGCATAAAAGTTGTCAAGTCGCGTGCGGTTTCTCCTCGTTTTGGCGAGCAGCTCCCACACTGAGAAGATGTCATCGAGACACCCTCCGCCTGCGAGGCACAGCCCCGCAGCAGAGATTGATTCTTGTTTTTCCGCCTGAGGAGTTACCGCTCCCCGGACCGCCAGGGGAAGGGACGGCGGGAAGGACACGGGGACGGCACCGCCGCCGCTCTGCGCGGGCTGCGGAGGGGGGGCCCGTCACCCCGCGCCGTCTGTAAACCACCCCGGGGGGGACAACACACCGGGCTGTCCCCTGCCCCCTGACCGACACCGACCCCTGCCCGCCGCGGACGCCGTCCCGCGGGGGAGCGCAGCGCAGCCCCCCCCCAACCCCGCAGCGCCCCGCGCAGC